AAGGGTTCTCAGGCACTGGAACAGGCTGCCCAGGGAGGTGGTTGAGTCACCATCCCTGGAGGTGTTTAAAAGACAGCTAGATGGGGTGCTCAGAGATATGGTTTAGTAGTGAACAGGTATGGTTGGACTTGATGATCTCAGAGGTCTTTTCCAACCAGGAGATTCTATGATTCTGCAAATGCCAAGTGAGCTTTGGCAACATGGATGACTCTTAAGCTGTAGGAGGACAGAGGTGGAACTTAAAACTTCTGTTTAAACTTCTGCCTGTATTTTGGGATTTGTGGGTCTGTTCCTGGTCATTCCTTCATTCCACTATTTGGTAAAATGGCTAATTTTAAAAAGATAAAATAGTCCAAAAATATATATACATTTGTCTGTGCCCTAAGTCACATAGTGAGCCTTGACAGGGATGCATCAGTAGTGAGACTGTTTTATCACTTGGGTTTCATATTTTCTTTAGAGACAATGTGTCTCTTGGGCATTTTCTACTCTGCTTTAATGATTTTTTTTTTATTATTTTTTTTTAATCCCCAGGTATGAGCCAGAGGACTAAAACACTAAGAACATCTGATCTATCAGAAGCTGCCATGGAAAGAAAATGTATACTGGTATTATTTTTTCAACAACTTTTGTTTTGAATGGTATATTTTTTGCTTCTAGTGCTTAACATAACTTTCATTAATACTTATAAGATGCTGAAACAACTATCTTACTTCCTTATAAACCCACTATTTATAGGTATTAGTTTCTGTAGTCATGTTTTTAATTAATAACCATCAACATTCCTTGAGAAATAGAAAACAGGAGTATATTGAAGAACTGAGACCATTCTCTACAAAGAAAGGAGTTTATTTTTGTTAAGAAAAAGGGAAAAAAAAGAAAAAAAAAAAAGCATTAGAGTTTTTTGATGTCTCTGAAGTGGAAACTCCAGTTGTTACTTTTGTACAGTTAATGTAGCCATGAAGTGGCATTATATGTGAGAATTGCATCAGTGGAAGTAAAACGTAGGAGAGGGGGAAAAAAAAGAAACATGCTGATTCTGTAATGTTGTTTCACACCAGACATCTCATACCTCAGCAAAATGTCATCAGTAGCATTTTGCTAGAAGGTGCTCATCAGATAGTGAGGTACATATGCTTTATGGTGGAAGCACTGGACCCTTTCAAATAAAGCCACTAATTGGAGTTGTACTTTTTCATTTGAATTTATTTGAAACAAATTTGGACATCAGAATAGAGATTCTGATTTTGCCAGTATTCTTAACGTAAAGATGATGATCTGAAAAAGCATAGGGAAGTGGCTAACGGAACAGCTTTCTTGGGAAATAAGTTATTTTAGATGTTTTCATCTCCTTTCTTATTGTAAGCTCACCAGAAAACAGCTTACAAGTCTTTTGCTTGTAATCCTCTGCCTTGCATTTATCTGGAAGCCTGTTAGTAGTGCATTCTACTTGTTCATCTGTCCCTCTTCGTATGTATGTTGTGTTTTACTCCAAATAAAACCTTTATGTTTTCAAACACTTAATCTTTAAAGAACTCATTTTTTTAATAGAAATATTTTGTGTAGTTCACAGAATCAGAATCACAGAATGT